AATAACCTCACACTGTTTGCTGCCATGTGTAGGTTGGATATAATCAAGTGGGCCAAACAAATAAAACAGTGTGCCTACTTCCTCATTTGGTGTTGCCTATAAATAGACAAATCATTAGATTTGTGTTTTAAATTATAGGCAGGTATTGTTATTTTGACAGCAGCTGGCTCATAATGCTGTTCACCTGAAGAAAAAACAATATTTCATTACTTTGTGTTGTACCTTCCTGAAACATAGCACCTGAGTTAACGGGGAGCAGCAGGGCATCTGCTTATCTCGAGAACTGTAGCATGAGTAGAGGTGTCTAGCTTTATAACTTCTGCAGGTGGAATTACACCAAAGAAGGAGAAGTGTGGATGAAAGACAGTGTGCATAAGTACATAAAAAGTAAGAGTTGTGATTTCCGTTCTTAAAAAATGTTCAGGTCTATAATGTTTTAGTTTCTCTGCAGGGAGAAGGAAACATTCTGACTCCTTATTAGTATTTTTCATTTGTTTTTTTTTCTGGAATGCACTTCAGATTCAGTAGTGACTGACAGGTTGACCACTTTTACCAGTGCTGGTGAACTGTTAGAGCATGTGTTTGAATGGCGACACAGGCATTCTCATTTGAAACAAAACAAAGATGTAGCTCTGATTCAGCAGACAGAATAAAGTCAAAAGTGTGTTACGGTCTCTGTCACTGTAGTAAGGAAGTTCTTTGCAAAAAATAATGAAATTACGTGTGACACTGATACTGATGCTGGACTATATGACTCCCATTTATCTCATAAGGAATTGATGTGACAAGATTGTAAGGAAATCTGTGACAAAGCCAGTCCAACCTCACATTTGATTATCGCCATTTTATTTTCACTTCAAAGATTTGTATTTGGTGATATCTTGGATCTCAGATAATCTTTTAATTGTAAATGCTTTTCTTATTTGGTTCATCCTTTACTTCCTGTGGAAGGGTAATAGAGACCAATGTGGAATTTAAATCACAAGATTTATTACAGAGATAATAACGATGTTATTATTTTGCCTAGACATGCATTCCTGTTGGGGCAATTGTCTGAGCTGTGTTCAGATGGAGCCAGCTGAATGCGATGCTTTGTCTTCTGGATGGTATCCAACATGTATCAGATCTCTGCTGCTACTGGGGAATCACAGAGGGGCCAGAAATCCTCATACCTCTTGTGTCTTGGTTTCATTTCAGTAGATCTCTGATGAAAATACAAAACTTCCAGCCTAAGCTTTCATTCTGAAACCACATTTTGATGATCAATCCTAAAAATACAACAAATGTCTCTCTGTGATTTTGAAACTGAGTTTCTGAAAAAACATTGTATTTGTAGTAAGAGGTAAAGTGCGAAGTTCCTAAGAAATGAGCTGCCGTAGAAATGGATCCTATCTGTCAGTCTCTGCTCCATACTCTCAGGAAAACAGAGAGGAGTAGAGAAAGAGCCAAGATGACTGACTAAATGGGATGCTAAAGTGCCGGGGGCTAGAACTGGGCTTGCTGGTCCCTCAGGTCAGAACTGCAACTGTTAGACTTCCCTGTTTCATACCTGCTGAAGCCAGCAGGAGAAGAACAGCAGGAAAAACGCTTCAGGCACTGTCGGGGGAATTGGTAAGAAGTACCTGATGCATCTTTAGGCATGACAGGCTGTGCTCTCCTCTGGGAGGACAACCTCTTCTTTTTTGTACTGGTAGGCCTCATTTTCACAGTTCTCCTGGTTTGTAGCAGTGAGGCAGAAGAAAATAGATGGAATGCTGAGGAGCAGCAGAGCATCTGTTTATCTAGAGAACTGCAGAGGGAGGGGAGAGGTGTAGCTGAATGACGTCCCTGCAGGTGGGGTTCCTTTCCCCAGCTTTTGTTGCAGAAATTGTTGTTTTTTGTGGCTTTGTCATGTTTTTAATTAAAAAACAAACAAACAACAACAAAAAAAAACGTTACCTTATCTTCTTTTTTTTTGTTGTTGTTGATAGTAAAACTTTTTCCCTTCGTCTTGTTCCTTCTCAGCTAGCTATGACCAAAAATAGTTGGGTACTTGGAGCATACAGGTCTGTTGTGACTGAGAAGTGAACTATACAGAGCTAATATCGTCATGTCTGTAATGAAGTCATATCTGGTAATCAAAGAAGAGCTGCATTAGAAAGAAAAACAAAATAATGCAAATAAAGTAGTGTTTATTCAGGAATTTAGATTTGTTTGATGAAAAAATAATAAAGCCTGGTCTGTTCCAGTAATTTTGAGACCTTAGAAGTGACATGGAGGAAACCAAATGGGTGAATTCTTTTGTGTACAGCCCAGCATTTTGAGAGGCTCTTTCATAGACAGGCCTTTTTGGAATATCTGACGCCACTTTCTCAGTGGGCATGCTCTGTAAAATTACTCCACCTGGTACAATTAACATCCTGCTTTATTTTTCCTTAAGTGTTTTCCTTTGCTCTGACTTAGTTCTTTTTATCTTACCTGCCTCTTTCTCCTTTCCACTTAAATGCTAGCATGGGCTGGGTCATGCCATGCTTGACCCATACAGGGCCCTCTCAGCTGCATCATCTCTGAATGGTAAGAAAAACAGACACTTCTGTGTCACTATCTGATATTCTGGATTCCAGAATCAAGTCAGGAACAAAAGCATTCAAGGTTTTTGCCTTGTCTGATGAAATTTATCCCATAAACATCAACAAAAGCTATATTGTTTCCAGCTTTTACAGCCCAATCTCTTTATTCCTTTGTCTGTTTTATTAGAGTAAGAATGTATATGTCATTCTCATAGCAATGACTTCAAGATTTAACTGGATGACTAACTTGTACTTTTATTTAAGTTAGCGGGGCATAAGAATATCTTCCTCCTGGGTAGAAATCTTGAGTAGATTTTGATCCAGTTTCTTGTATAGCCACTCAATTTCACTTTTCAAATGCCATGAATTAGTTTTATGGTTCTAATAAAATAGATTTCTCAGCTCCCCCATGAATTTTCTGATGTGCATATTATGAAACTATGCAGACTGATCCGTATTCTTGCAGCTATGAGCTTTGTTCAACTGCTTAATGTTGTGTGTCAGGGTCACCTTAATTTTGTTGATTTTCTAGCCCTACTTAGCCCATCCAACTGGTGATACAGTTCCACAGTGCCAATCAGATGCACTTCGCTATCCATAGTCTCACCTGAATGAAAAAATGCTTAGAATCTGATACGAAACAACAAACAAACAAGCAAAAAAACCTCATTTTTCATCAGATTTGTCTGAGTTATGCAGAAATGCTGAAGGAATGTATGAAACTCTTAGAGATTTCCGGTCTTTGAGGTTCGCCTCTCATTAATCATAACTTGTAGCAAGAGCAAATACTCCAAACATCATGTTTCTCTGCTAGGGTATCTGAGTTTGGAAGCAAATAAATGACTTTACCAATTTATCCTTTGTGTGGAAAATTTTACTAGTCTGTTTGCCAGAAGGAAGATTAGGATTAGATATGTTACTGAGTTTGTTTTGTTTTGCCATTTTGTCACCAATTGGGAAATATAGTACACTGGTGATCAACATGTTTGGATAGTGGCAGCTAAGTAATTAAAAAAAAAAAAAAAAAAAGAAGAAGCTGGAGGATTGGAAAATAAGAAAACAACGCTGCTTTGTAGATGTACAGAGAACAAGCAATTTCCTAACACCTTTTCTTCAAGGAGCTAAGATGAATGATGTCTTTGAACACGCATTCTAAGGAGGGATTTTATTTAAAAAGATGAAGTTCTGTGTAAATTGTTTAGAACATTCTTGGTGAAGACATGTTGATTAATAAACATTAAAGAAGGAAGATGCATATTAATTTGTTTATGTATAAGAGGCTTCTAGCTCATTAAATGTCTTCTAAGCATTTAACTAGTGAAGCAGTGGATAAAAACAGACATTGTCTTTAATCTTATTGCAGGTTCCACTATGAAAACAAATAGATTATTGCTAAGTAGGTATGAGAGTTCTACTAATGACATTCCTTTGAAAATATGGCGTGTCTGCCAGATCAATATTTGAGCTGTAATTCTGTGGAAATTTGGGTTCAGTTTTGTAACTCAACTGCTGGGACCTATAGGAATTCATAAATTTTAACTTCATCAACAACAGTGGTTGGATAATTAAATTGTTGAAAAATTTCTTGTTTATAGATAGCCATCAGTTCTTGGTATGATTTTGTTAGATATCATTTATGCCTGGTTATGCTAAGAGTTCTCTAGGAACGTTCGGTTGCAGTAAGGTATGACTGACATTCCTTCTTTCAGTTGTTTTTTTTTTATTCTTTACCAAAATATTACTGCAAACAGGTTTTTGTACTGTTTTAGATGTAGTTAAAAAAGACAAGAAAGAAGCTAGTTACAAGTAATGTTTATGAGAAAATAATCCTATAGACCATTTTAAAGAAATCAGAAAATTGTCTTAATGTCCAGGCAATGTCTAGATGAGTAAATTGCTTTCAGTCTAATTTAAAAACAAGTGAATAAGAAATAAGAAACACCGAACACTGGGGGGGAGGGGAGGGGATAAAAACAGTCCTGGGAGAAAAGCAACACATATTTGCAGATTTTCCCTAAAATTACCTTTTATTTTTAGATACCTATTAACTTGAATGACGGCTTTTGCTTTGAAAGTGTTAACATATTAATTTGTAATGAAAATTGCAGTTATTTTTTGCAGGCAATAAATGGGTAAAAAGAGTAAACATTATTTAAACTACAGTTTGAGTTTAAAGATCAGTTTCTGTTTTTTTGTTTCCTTATAGTTTTTCACTAGGGTCACTTCTTTCTCCATTACTCGGTGTTTTGCTCTTACTTTTCTTTTGACTTCTTCTATTGGCATTTGTACTATGCGAAGAAAAGAATGGATGTTTCAACTTACATGTCAAATTTGTAGAACTCTAAAACTTCTTATTACTCTTATGTACTGCTATAATATGCATAAATATTCTCACTTACTGTTATAATATGCATCAATAATCATACTAGAATTATATTGGTAATTTTGCAGATCCAATGCGTGGGCCACGGAAATTAGAGGTTGTGGAGATCAAGTCTAGGCAAATCACTATTTGCTGGGAGCCATTTGGATATAACGTTACGCGTTGCCATCGGTACAACCTCACAGTCCATTACCGTTACCAGGCTGGAGGACAAGAGCAAGTGAGAGAAGAAGTAAGCTGGGATACAGAAAGTTCACATCCACAGCACACCATTACTAATCTTTCACCATATACAAATGTCAGCATCAAATTAGTACTAATGAATCCCGAAGGACGAAAAGAAAGCCAAGAACTTGTCGTGCAAACTGATGAAGATGGTGAGTTTTTGTATTTACACATATATATACATCGTACATGCATCCTACCTGATGATCATCGTATCTTTCTATATGTTCTACTTTCACTATCTGTAACAAATTTTACACCACCTTCAACAGTTTCAGGGCAGTAAGGGATCTACTAAATGTATTATCATGGACTTTTACATAATCTGTAACATTATACATCATTTTATCGTTTCTTCACTAAGCTCGTAGTATGAGAGTTATAGAGTTATGTTCTGCCACATAAAAATTCCAGTATCAGTGTGAAAATAATCCAGGTGCTGGTCCACAGTATCTTCATGTAAGCTTTTCTGTTGAATGATATGCTCAACATCAAATACTTTTTCCTGATCTACAGTTTCCACCACTGAATGCCATTAGTTGCTTATCCAGTGTCTTTTTTATATATGTACATTACAATATATATATACTCCCTCTCCTTTGGTAATTCTTAGCTAAAGTGGGGTTTTCAGACCTCAGTCATTTACATAATTACTTAATTTATCAGTCTCTTTTTTGAAGTATGTGTAGCCGAGTTGGCAACTGAGTCTTCGTAATGCTGTAGTAACATTGCATGAATAGATTCTAACATCCTTCTAAATCCTATGTGATGTTATTGTGATTATGCACACCAAGAGTTTACACGAGTACTGGTAGCTATGGGACCAAAATGGGACTTACTTTTTTAATTAGTCATGCACCAGGAATCGGTTCCACCTTTACGGAACACATTGTACTAAGGTATATATAGCCCCTTGGTACCTTCTACAAGTGAGCCTGATGTTTTTTGGCTTTGCTTATACGAATCTTCAGTTGTCTACCCTTCAAAGGAACCTTAACAAGTGGCTGAGATTGCTTACAACAGATCTATTCTCACAGTTTTAACATCTGCAGTCTGACTAGAAGTAGTGTGTATTTTCTTCCAAATTAATGATGGATTTACTGCAAACATTTTGGAAAGATTTCTAGAAAAAAAAATCAGCAATGACAAGTTTCCCTTATAATAAATACTTGAAGAGTATCATTTAAAACTATTAAATCATTTAATATGTACTGTAATGGTTTTGTACAGTATTAATTTCTAATCAAAATATATGAGGGAATAAATTAAACAATTTAGGAATTTAGGTTGCTAATGCAACAGATTTTACCAAGCATAGCTAACATGAAAATTGTTTAATTAAAATTAATTTTGCTGTCATCTCCTTGTTTTTATTCAGTTCAATTGTAGGATGCAAAAGCAAAGGATCTTACTGATATATGTAACATTTCTGTATTTTCTTTAAAATTTACATAGTATTTGTTTATTCCTGGCCCTCCTGAACTTCACAGTATTCTAAGACATCTTAAAAGCCAGCATCAGTGGTTCAGAGAATACTTTTTTTTTAGTATTCTTTCCATAATATTAATCAGTTTTGAAATATCAAGACTGAAAATCTACGATTCTGTCTTTGCAATGTTTTTACAAATACTATAGAAAAAATACAGCTTTTTAGTATATTGTACACTTTCAGTAAAACATATGTATCTGTGTGTAACACAACAATGAAATATGGCCCAGATAATCACTGTGATCTTCAAATTGCATTATAATGTATGTTGCAAGGGCTATGTTCAGTTGAGCGTTCGATGTTTCCATGGATGAATATCCTACAGCCTCTCAAGGGAAGCTCTTTGAGTCTTTGACCTCCGTGATAGTGTAAATGCTCAGAGTTTGTGTCTTCAAGTACTTTTATAGAGTTATCACCATGTTTTGTCATACTTTTACCTTACTTGTGCTATATTTAATTTTTCTCCCTTTACATATATATTATTAGCCCTATTATTCCAAATAGAAAACTGTTTTCTCCTACTTTGAAGGAAGACTCTGTACCCAGACTTAGGATTTCACTAATGGCACAGTTTCACTGGTCCATGTAGGACCGGTAAGCAAATTCAGAAGCTCTCTGTGTCCTTTTCTTTTTGTCTAAGGAATTCCTACAAGGGACACTGTAGAGAGGTAGGGAGATTTGCTTATAAAGTCTCAATTTAAACTCCATTTAAACCATTTCACTCCTAGACCAACAACATGGAGGAACAGAAGAGGAAAAATACCCTATCAGACCTAGAAACAGGAAGGAGTCACCAGATGTTTATCTTGCAGGTCTTCTCTTCCTGTACTTTAGTTATATGGATGGAACTCAGAAAGGGGTCCAAGAAGTTGTTTCAACTGTTGTAGCAGTTGGTTTCCACCTTCTAGCATATGAAAAATATATTTTCTTACTGGACTTTCACATGCACATCAGGTGAAAGTGCTCACCCATCAGTGAGCTTTGTGATAGCCTAATGCTTCCTAGCAGTGTGTTTTTCAAAAATTTTCTTTTTACATTATGTTTCATATACTGTTTCAAAAACAGAATTTCAGATACATGTCCATGTGCTGTTAGCACACCCTCTTGGCTAAAAACTGTTTTGACATTGGCTCTAGGATAAGATAGTTGTAGAACAAATAGAAGAAAAAAGAAAAGAAGTAGATATCTAAGAGCAGCTGATGCATCCTTTATCGGACTCTTCTGATGTCCCTGTCTGTTCACCATTCATTCCTCTAAAGTAAGAATCTTTAAGAAAGATGAATGTCAGGTTTTCAGTTTGTCTGCATCACAACTTCCATGTGTTCACCATGTTTAAGGACATCAGGTCTATAGTCAGTGAGCATCCCCATTATGTGCAAAATGTGGCTCACCTTTCCAAGGCTGGCATTCTTAGTTCAGTAAGCTAAAGCTGCACCTTGTTATTTCAGTCTTTTCTTATTTTCATACATAAATGTTTGTATCTTTCAGTTCAGAACAGTAATGTCATTGATAAGTAGGTGTGACTATTCTTATTTACAAGAATTTATCCCTGAGACATCATCTAGTTTCTTATTCTGTAAGTTGAATTATTTCTTTCTTCATCAGTAGCGTTCTACTAGAAAAGTGCAATTCTCACTAACTCCTTTTTATACTGAAGTTGACACAAATTTCCTTAACAGCACTGTCTTGCAAAATAAATTATTCTTAGCTGAGTCTTTGCTTCTTTCTACCCTGGTCTCTGCTTCAATCTTTGGGAAATAATTGTGGGTGTAATTTTCTAACATATTATACGCAGTTGAGGTGTTTAACTTAGGGAGATGGGGAAGAAATGATTATATTTATATATACATATAATATATTAAACAAATTCCATGGAAGATTAACTGTATCTCAACAATTGCTACTTTGTGTCTCAACAAAATGGATGGATTGCTTTTATATTTGTTTCTCCATTTTTTATTCATTAGTTCCAAGTGCTGTACCACTTGAATCCATTCAAGGGAGTACCTTTGAAGAGAAGATTTTTCTTCAGTGGAGAGAGCCAGTGCAAACATATGGTGTCATTACTTTGTATGAGGTATCAAGCGTTTGGTCGTGTTTTTCCCTTCATATATCGTATTGATTTTTGGAAGTGCATAATTAGTATGTAATTGAAAGAAAATATTTTTCCCAGTTTCTGTGAAATAAGTACTCATTTTGAAGATAGTAGCACTTACAAAGTAATAAAATCAAATGTGTAATATTTGTGTAATATACTTCAAATCCCAAGAAAGGTATTGAGTTATCAACTTGAAGAAAACTGCTATATTTAGAGCCATATGTTATTCTATCTAGTAATGTGGAATTAATATTTAAGACTGAAAGACAGATTTTAGTAGATTTTTTTTTTAAGAGAAGGCATAACGCAGTGAAGACAGTCATCTTCACATTTAGGTGAGACTCATTACAAGAAGCCTATTGTAATAGAAACAGGCAGGCATAATTTTTAAAAAATCTGTGATTTTTAATGCAAATTCAACAAAATTATATGTTGTAGATGTCTAAAAATCACTGCTTTTCCCCACATGGAACCTCTGCCTGAATACCTTTTAGAAAAATTGACAAAAGACTGCAGAGATTAAGCTGTCAGACGGTAATCACTGTTAAGCCTCTTACCTGACCTTACTACAAAATTGGTATTGAAATGCTTTGTTTAAAAAAAAACAACACACCACCTAAATGAGATATGGTGTAAGAGAAAAGTTAAATTAAATGGTAACCTATTGATACTGTTTTGAAAACTATTTTATTATAAAAGGATAAAATGTTACGAAGAAGTATAGATTGATTTTTTTTATATATATAAAACTAACTACTTTCCAGCTTTTTTGCCAAATTGCCAAATTGCGAATCTGCATGGATCTGAATGCTTTGGTAAATATGATAATATTTTTATTGAGATTTGGCTTCAGATTCATAGAAACACACAGAAGCAAATCATCTGCTAATAAAAATGCATTCATGTCTTACTGTATTGGTGGAAAACTACATGCAGTGTATATGTGCAGCTCATTCTGAAATATATCTTTATAACTTCATCAGCTGTAATGAAAAAAATAGGTTAGCCTAAGTTTCAAAGGTATTCAGGACAGCAAGTCTTTGAACACCAAAAGAACCTAGCGTTCCAACAGCAAAGAGAATGTTGAAAATGTAATACTGGTATCTTCTGCTGTTTATCTTGCACTTCTAAGAGCAGGGTAGAGAGAGCTAAGCAATCTTTTAAAGTAGAAACTTTAATTTCATTAATTTCTAACTGAAAGGTATGAGCAAGACATATACATCCAAACCAGTTTTTGTTCTAAATGCCAGCTTGGTCCAGTGAGGTTGCTGAACATGAACAGATTAGGAAGGCCAGAACCCAACTAGAACTTCACTGGGCAAGGAGTGCAAAGAAGATCAAGAAAGGCTTATACAGGTACATCAACCATAAGGAAAGACGCTAAGAATGCATACTTTCCCCTAGTGAGCAACACAGGTAGCTGATAACAATGGACAAGGTGAAGGCTCAAGTACTTCAATTTTTTGCCACAGTCTTCACTGACAACTGCTCTTAACATAGCCCTCAAGCAGTTGGGTCAGAAGTTGAGGACTGAAGAAGCAAAGTCCCTCCTACTGTAAGTGAAGTTTAGGTTTGGGCCAGTTGAGGAACCTGAATGTTCATAAGTCTGTGTGTCCCAAGGAGATGCATCCCAGAGTCTTGAGGGAATTGGATGACATAGTCACCTGGCCACTCTCAATGATATTTGAAAAGTCATGGCAATCAGGTGAAGTCCCTGGTGAGTGGAAAAAAGGCAGTGTCGTGCCTATTTTTAAGAAGGATAGAAAGAACAATCCAGGGTACTATCAACTTGTAGCCTCTTTTTTGTGCCAGTGAAGATCATAGAATGGATTCTTCTGAAAGCTGTGCTAAGGCACGTGGAAGAGAAGGAGGTAATACAAGATAAATAGCATGGCTTCACACAGTGCAAGTCCTGCTTGACCAATCTAGTGACCTTCTATGATGGCTTAACTGCATCAGTGGAAAAAGGAAGAGCCACTGGTATCATTTGGACTTGAGTTTGGCCTTTGACATGTGCACGTATAACTTCCTTCTCTCTAAATTTGAGAGATATGGATTTGATGAATAGACTGTTCAATGGATGAGGAGCTGGTTGCAAGATCATACTCAGGGAGTAGTGATCGGGGAATCAATGTTCAGATGAAGATCAGTAATGAGTTGTTTCTCTCAGGGGTCAGCACTGGGACTTTTTAATTTCTTCATCAGTGACATCAATACTAAGATTGAGTGTGCCCTCAGCAAGTTTGTGGATGGCACCAAACTGTGTGAGACTACATAGGCTCAAGTTGTGGGCCTAGGAAAATCTCATAGGTTCAACAAAGCCTAGTGCAGAATGTTGCACCTGAGTCATGGCAACTCCTGCTATCAATATAAGCTCAGGGACAAAAGGGTTGAGCACAGCCTTGCCATAAAGGACTTGGAGGTGGTGGTTGATGGCAAGCTGGACATGAGCCACAATGTACCCTGACAGCCCAAAAAGTCAACTGTATGCAGGGCTTCACCAGAACAAGCATGGCCAGCATGTCGAGGGAGGTGATTCATGCCTCTAGTCTGCACTGGAGACATCACACCTAGAGTACTGCATCAAGATCTAGAGTCCTTAGTACAGGAGAGACATGGATTTGGAGTACATCCAGAGGTAGGGCGCAGAAATGATCCAAGATGTGGAACACCTCCCTACGAGGACAGTCTGAGAGAGCTGAGGCTGTTCAGCCTGGAGAAGAGAAGGCTGTGGATAGCAGCCTTTCAATATCTAAAGGGAAGCTATAAAAAAGAAGGGGACAGACTCATTAGCAGGGTCTGTTGTGATTCGAGGGAAACAAGGGAACATGGTTACCAGGGAAAATGGTTACAAGTGAAACAAGAGAGATTTAAACTGCATAAAAGAAAGATGATTTTTGTGATAAGGATGGCAAGGTACTGGAACGGGTTGCCGAGAGAGGTGGTGGATGCCCTGTCCTTGGAAACATTTGAGGTCAGGCTGAACCAAGCTCTGAGCAGCCTGACCTATCTGTAAGTGTCCATGTTCATTGCAGGGGAGTTGGACAAGATGCCCTTTAAAGGTCTCTTCCAACTCAACTGATTCTATGATTCTATGAGCACTCTCCAAGGAAGGATATGGGACATTTCAGCCTGGAGATAATAACAATTGGAGAATCCCTTGAGCTGAAAGGCCTGCAAAGCAGTGAGTCAGCTCAAGAGTTGCAGTAAGGAGTGAATGCACCTTCCCATCACCTGTCACCTGTCACAGGGTGATACACAACCTAAAGTGAAAGGACTACGCAACCTGTAGTGCCAAAGGAAAAGCAAGCACAAGATAACTGGGTACTTTAGCTGAGAGTTGAAGACATTCAGTTTGTCTGAGATGGAAGCTTTGCTCATACCTAAGAACGAGGTTGCCCTTTCTTAGGCATCCTCTTCAGCTGGTGGCCATTTTTTAAAGGGTCATTCCGAAGACTGCAGCATGAGATGCTTTCTTTATGTGTTAGTATTTTAAAATGTGGGTAATGTAATTATGACTTTAAACTCCTGAACAAAGAATTTACATTTACCAGAATGCTAACAAATACTGTAGAAACCACTGTGGACTTTGCTTATAAGTAGGAGTGAAACAAAGAAGCAATGCAAATTCATTTAACCAGCCAAAGCACCTTTTTTTATTGTGTTCCTCCTGATGCCAGGAAGAACTTAATTATAGAATATTAGCTACTTACCTGTCCAGTAATTAATTGCTATACCAAAAAAAAAAAAAAAAATTACAAAAATGTAATATGGCAAATCTTAAAGATGTATAATGTCAACACTTACATGCTTTTAAATATTTTTTTGTGTTCATCTTCTTAATCAGAACTATGTGTAATAATGTACTGTGTAATAATTACAACAAAAAAGAATGTTGGTTATTATTTTGTTATATAAAGTGCTGGAATTCATATAAGAATGGAACTTTATAAGTAAAAAGGAGAAATTAATAATTTTTATTTTTTAATATATTTCTATTTTTTAAGTTCTCATTATGATATGTGGAAATTAGTAATTAATATAAAAAATCTGGATCAAGTTTTGCTGTGAACTTGTATTAACGTTTCTAATGAAAACTGGAAATACTGCTTGAGTCAAAGAAGGAACTGAGGATACAGTATACATTTTGCACATATTACTTAGCGTTTTATCTCTCTTCTCCTCCAAAGGAGAATCTGACCTAGGTACAATATGATAACCTGAAAATTTCCAAATTAGCAATTACAATATCTAAGCTTTAGACTAAAATATAAGCTCTACCAGCTTTCTGAAAAATTTGCCTTAAGCTGCCCTTATCATCTTCTAAGGATAATCTTATTCAGAGCAAAGTGTAATTGCAGTCAAATCAGTTAGAAGTAGGAGGCACTTTTTGCATTATTTGTTTATGTGCTTTTACTCTGTTGTTTTGTTTTTGTTATTGTTGCTGATCAAAACCAACTGTAAGACAGGTTCAAAAAATGACATTGTTAAAGGCAGCACCTTAAAGGAATTAATGTAAGCCTGAACCCATCCTTTAGAGTTGTAATCTAGCTTGTCTCTAAGTCTCCATATCTATAAAAGTAATAACTCATACCAGTTATAGCTAAGTTTCTCTGTCCCTTCATGGGATTCAGGATTTGAAGAGAATAAGAGAGTAAGATAGCTTATCATAAAATGTCTGACAGCACATACATCAGAAGGGTTTACTGGATAAAAATGCAATCTTTGTCCATCTGCTCAAGACAGTTTATAACTTTCTTATTCTTTTGCAGATCACCTACAAAGCAGTCAGCTCCTTTGACCCAGAAATAGATTTATCCAATCAAAGTGGACGAGTCTCAAAGCTAGGAAATGAAACACACTATCTCTTTTTTGGACTGTATCCCGGCACTACCTACTCTTTTACCATCAGGGCCAGCACAGCTAAAGGCTTTGGACCTCCAATCACAAATCAGTTCACCACTAAAATATCAGGTATTTAATGAAAAAATATAATTGTTTACATTTAATAATGGCATAGTCAATTTTTTTTTTTTGCTACTTATCTCTTCTTTAGGAATTTACTAGCAGCAAATTGAAAGTAAAATAAGCCTTCATCCCTGAAGATGTCAAAATGACATACGTTAGTATACCTGAAAAGCTTCCCAAGTGCTTAAATAGAAGCTAGTAGTTTGAAATTCCTATTCATGGCTATAACTTACCACCCAAAATACCCAATGAATTATGTGCCTACAGTCAGTGCCAGCTACTGTTACAACATTTAGCATAGGGTTTTTTGGACATGAGGATGAGGGCTCCATTCAGAGCTTATTCAGCCTTGACATGATTCCAAATTAGTACAGTAACTGTGCTGGAAAATCTCTTTAATGAGCCATGAACAATTTAGAGTAGAGCAGATACACTGTATGTCCAGTGCTCAGTTAGAAAGTGCTGCTGACAGCCAGCCAGCATACATTCCTAGTAGGCGTGTGAACTGAAGTGGGTATGAAACCGTATTAGACAAGAACATCAGGAGTTGTTGTTTCCAGATAAGAGCAGCATGACTCTGTCACTTCTACAGATCCATGAACAATACTTTAAAGCCCTCCCAGAGGCAGAGGAACGCTTAATTTCTCCAAACGATGGGATACAATACTATTAAATCCTAAAATCCTTATGTAAATCAATGACAAAATGTTTTGCAAAGTTAAAATTTAACTAAATTTAAATCTTCACTTACCTACAGTCTTCCTGGGAATTAAATTGAGAGTTGGACCTTGATAATGTTTACACAAAATTGCCTTACCTATTTGTGTCAAATTTGCTTTTCAGAAAAGATAAGGGAAAGCATGTGGATATGAAATCTTCTTTCTTTTTTATTCTCTTTCTGTATATTTTTCCCTGCATCAATCCTTTTCTGTCCTCACAAGTATTAATCAGAAATAAAGCAATTCCTTTTTATCACAGGAAAGGGCAGTTAATTTGAGGTGGAAATTATTGCTAATTGAGGTTACTAGAGGAAAAAAAAAAAAAAAAAAGACTGGTAATTTTCAAGTTGGAAAATTATTCTTGGAAGAATATCTAACAGTAATTAATGCTGATCTGTAAAGATGGGATCATTCTCCCTCTTCTCACATTGAGCAAAATGTTTCTGTCAGAAATGAATTTCTAACATAGGAAGTCTTGATAGGACTTAGTATGATAGAATCGGGCCTTACTAGAATGAGGTAAGAAGGAAGCTGCTGAGAATAGAATGTGTTTGGGAATAGTGCTATGGCTTAAATTGTTCTCTTTTAAATTCGATATGTTACCAACAAAAACTCATTTGTCTGAGTGAACATTAAAGCCATGCTTTGAAATGAGACAAAGCTCCAAAAGAGCCATCTAGTGAAGTTTTGCAAGCTGTCTTCTCTGCGCCCAACTCTCTTAGTATTTCATCTTATTTACTGTGCTAACAGGATATGTTTAAAATTTGTCCTGAGGTCAAAGCGAATCTCTTGGTGTATTTCTGTAAAATACAAGCAGAATACATTTCATAGTATCATAGAAGAACTGCAACTGAAATTTAAGCTGTTGAGTATCATTTTTTGCAATGTTATTGGCCTGTGGTCTTACCTGTAAGGCTTTGAGGCTTTTGATGTGTCTATATTGTGAAAAGATGTCAAATGAAAGTGCTGAACATTTATAAAAAAAGGTTTCAAAGTACATTTTAGAACAGATGACCTGGTAACTATGCATTCTGACCAATTTTTAAACAGATCTTGTATTTTAATTTGTCTGACTCTAGACTGCATTTTCATAGCTTTGATTTTCTGTCTTAAGTTGATGAGTAGTACTATTCTGTACTGTAAGTATTTGCCGTGTTTCATTCTACAGTGGTGTGATAGGCATTGATGGATGAAGTGATCTGTATGTAAATATGCACTACTAAAAGGAGAGCTAGTAGCCATGCCTGCTGTCAAAATTGATGGGCATGTTGTATTAGAAGACTGTTTTTTGTTGCATATAACTTTGTGAAAAGTCAGCTGGGGAGGCTGAATTTTTTTATGCTGCCTTTGTTACCCAGAAGAATTTCATCCATTTTAGGACGACAAGCTGCTTCTTTGTTTGTGGGCAGTGTGGGGGAGGAAGAATCCTTATCTAGATAGAACAAAAGGGGGAAAATAGGTAATGTCCAGGTATCTGTGGAAAGGAGACAAAGTAGCCAGGTTCAAAGGTAAGAGTGGGAGAACCGTAGCTCGTAGCCTGGACAGGATTACAGTTTTGGTGGAGAGAGACTAAGGTTAGTAAACATTGCTTGTAGGGACCTAAGAGTCACAACTCAGTAAGACTGCAAGACTTGTTAAGATGCATGCAGGAGACCAAGGGCAAGAAATGACACTGATAGTGTTTTGGAAATGTTTACACAGCTTTCAGATTCACACTTACTCTGTGATTCCCTCACTTTTGGGATAGCCAACTTGAGAACGGGGTATGATTTGGATAAATCCTATGTGTATAAAACTACAAAACTGAAATCAGTGAAAACTGATTTCAGGGGGCTGGAACTAGGTAATTTTAAGGTCCCTTGTTATTCAATGAAATTGTCTGCATGTTGAGCACACTGTATTCTGAAAAACTTCTTCAGTGTGGTACACAAAGTGTCCAGCATCTGAAATATTTAGCAAAATGAATTCAGATGCTAAATAAGTCTTCAACGATGAGGATAATTAGCTGTTGGAAGAACTTAGAGCTAAATAAAAGATCTTCGCCACCCCAAAAAAATGTATTTTCTGTTATAAGCTGGAATTAGTTTGGGGAAGTTCATTGTCTTGCATCATTCCTGTGGTTGAAAAAGTTCACTGCAGTGATTGCTGTTTGCTTCTGTAGCCTTTTAAGTCTGTAGAAGTGTATCATCATTAATAGCTGGACAATAAGTATGTGATAGACTGCTAAACAAACAATTAACTGAGCAGCCTTCCATTAGTTATAGTGGTAAAAACACAACTAGATAAGAGCATTGGAAGAAAAGCAATAGCAGTAGAAGATTGTAACTGAGGAATCATTTGTAATTGTTTAATGGAGACACAGTTTGCAAAAGTGCCATTGAGTGTATGATAAGCTCTCATGATGATAATCCTGTTTCATTATCATGAATGATATCTGTGGTGGACAGTAGATAGGCCCATGACAGCCACAGCACAAATGACAAGTTCCAGAAGCATATCCAACTATTGCTGATACACTGAGAAAGCTGGATTCACATTTTCAAAAAATGTAGTCACTTTTGCATATATCTACAGTTTGTAGATGCTCTTCTTTAAATAAAATGTATATATATTCATTTCCAACTTATGTACTCTCAGTACTTTCTGAAAACTTAGCTGTATTAGGAGCTGTTGGCTCTAGTAATTCTCAGTGAGCTAGGATTTTTTATTTTTATTTTTTTTACTGAATTTACTTAAAAATTGTCTAATACTTCTACTATAACTGAAAGCATATTAGAGCTTTATACAGTCTTTATATTGCCAGAAGTCTTTAGGATTACGTATTCAAATAAAGATATGGATCCTGAAAGAAGAAATACAGGAATAATGATTATTTTGCTTCTTTTCCTTTCTTATTCTAGCACCCTCTATGCCACCATATGAACTTGAGACACCTTTGAATCAAACTGACAGCACTGTGACAGTCTTACTGAAACCTGCACAGAGCAGAGGCGCTCCTGTCAGGTAATGGGGGAAAAGGCTTTATAAAATTAAAACCAAATTGATTAATTTCTTGAACGTGTTTTCTGGGGATTTTCTACACAGCAGTCAGTGTCTAAATTCATGTCTGTATTAGCTCTAATTAAATTAAATAACTGAAGAAAATGGAAGTGCTTTGATGTTGAGTGTTCGTGTATTGTTTAAAGGATTTGATCCAGATGCAAGTGGCTTGTTCTTTGAAGATAAGGAACAAAGCCATAGTTCTGTTGTGTGGGTGGCTTCTTTAAGGTAATTGCTTACTGCAGTGTTAGAAGTTCAAGGGCATGTCACATTTTCTATGCTGAACTACTGTCTATGATATTCTCTTTTCTTGTTTACTTCACAAATATAAGATAATCAGTTCTTAGTAAGTTAACCACTTTTCAAAATATGTATTGTACCATCCATGAAGTATTTACATTTACTTGGCCATGAGAGAAGTACAGTAAAAGACTGGAAAATCATAGCTTCAGTTCTTTAATGTTATATAGTTCATCCTAATAAATTTCCAGTTTGCTGTGGTTTAATTTCATAGCGAGATGCACATTACCATGTAAGTCGTACACCTGTTGTGATAAAAGATGCCTGCTTTTCAGTGAAGAAAACAGAGGAATGATTATATTATTTTGAATCATAACCAGTAATGAGCTCAATATTTTGAACAAGGGAAAATATAGATGAGATAAATACAGATTTCTCAGAGGTTGAAGATGTTTCCCCTTTATACATAAATTATTATTTTTTTAGGGGGTGGTGTTTTCAGAATGTTTAATTTTTATTTTTATTTTGCAGCATTCACTGCTGTATTAGATATGTTTCATCATTCTATGGATGAATTTAGGAAATTGTCATTCAGACAACTTAAAAAAAAAAAGTAGCAGTTTTGATAAGTCTTAACAAGCTGAGAAGAAATGAGAAAGCAATTAAAGCAGATACAGTGGAACTAATTTAGTAGATTTTATGTTTGTGTTACTTCATGCTATAAAGCTGCAGTGTAGTCCTTCTGAATTCAAGCATCTGAATCAAAATAATAATATTTGGACTTATTTTTGCTTCAACACAAACATATTAGGCCTTAAAAAAAAAGAAGTTTAATTCCTTCTAACTGCACTGTGAACTAAAGATTATTAATTCCTATAGCAGTGGAGATGCATCAGCAGCTTTGCTGGTGATAAAAGGAAGCCAGTTAGGAGATTAAGTACACCAAATGAGTGGAATAGTGGTAAGAAAATAGAAGGAGAGATTTAAAGTAACTTGAAGCTATAGAACTGATGAAAGCAGACGAGCATATGGTATAGGTCCTTTCAGCAGGTCTTAAAATGACTGCTGCCTACAAACTCTTAATGTAAATACCTTGTGAAACAGAAAGTGAAAATTAAAGTAAGAATTTCTCAATACATTTTATTGCATTTTATTTTACATTACACTCTGAAGCATGTCATGGCATAGCTTGCAGAGTACATTCTGCATCTTAATCTGTATTCGTTGGGTGTTAGAAGTTTAGTCATACTTCTTTTATGCACATCGCTAAGAATGATGCCTTGTATATTGATCCTCCTACAAGCACCAGCTTGGTTAATGCAGGTTTTTGAAACTACACTAAACTTGCAGTATAAATTATTGCTGTTGTTGTATTGATCAGCACGTCAGCCATGTCACAGAAGATTCTGTAATTCCTGAAATGGATAAGGAGTTCACAAGTTGTCCCATTCAAGGCAATAAGCTAAATACCTGAGGTCGCTCAGAATTCTGCATTTTTTCTGCAATTAAATTCTTCTTCTCTAATCAAATATGAAAAATCCTGCTGTCTCCTGATTTATTTAGAATCCCCTCACAATCACCATGACATAAAAGGGAGAAAGGGCATGTTGATTGTTTAAATGTTGCTTCAAAAAAGCAGACTTTCTAGACATGTTGTGGAAGCTCTGTTTACAATGATAAAGTGCACGTTAATCATGAAGGCCAAATGGCATTCCAGGTTGTTTTAGAATTTGTACAACTGGACATGATTAAAATCTATTCTGTCAGAGTTTTAATACAACAAATACTGCTCAGTTTGTCTGCGATTTTAGGTTTTATGGCTGTTGCTGTGTTTACTTCTAGAAGATTATTTTGGAATTATGTATGTTTAAAGCAGTAGTGCATTCAGTAATGATGAATATATGTGCTTAACAGTTGGCTAAGCTATTCAGATTTCTATAACGATTGTCATTTGTGAGGCTTTTTCTTTAATTTAAGATGATGGTTCTGTGGAAATTGTGTAATACCTGTGTTACTGAGGACATTTTTTTTTTTTTTTTAAGATGTGTATGAGTCAGTAAAATTCTAGAGAGTTTGCTTTAAAAGTCTACAAGAAAATATTTTTATGTAAGGGCTATTCAACATACATTGAGGCACTCACTTTTTCAAGAACTTACTCTCTCAAGACAGTATCATTTTTACATTTCACTACTTCACTGCAAGTTAATCTACAGTTTAAAGATTGTGGGACCAAATTATCTGCAGGTACACAGATAGGTCAGCTCCACTTACTTCAGCAAAGGAATGCTTGTTTATTGCAAAGGTCTGGCTTGTACACAGGAATGAAAAATGTAGTGCTCGATGACTGCATGCGTTTAGTGTTATTTATGTATTTATCTGTTATAAAGAGCTTTAGATTGCTTGCTGCATTACATAATAAAAGGTTCTTGTGACCTTCTCTGGAAAAGTTTTCCTGCAAGCTTTTAGCAGCAACAGAAGCGAGTTTTCTTTGTCGCATAGATTTCCATTCAGTCTTGCTATGATAAAGGTTGAGTGCTTCCACTTCTTTTATCTGACTGGCATAATCAGTGAAATGCTGTCACCCCAGCACCCTCTTCATAATATTCAGTGCCACATCCTCAAAAAGCCAAAGGATAAGCATCCCAAAGATTTTGTCCCAGATAACCCCAAAAATACCTGGTGACAGCACACTCAGGGAAGGAGCAAGGTGAGACTGTCCATGCTCTATTCTGCCTTTTGCTCTGTGGGTGGGTTTGTTGTTAGGGGAATGACCTTTCTCATCTTGCAATGCCAAACTTCTGCAGGCTGGACTTGCCCCATAAGACTCTTCTAATCAGATAATGAAATATAAAGAAATAAAGAATAGTCCATTTAGCCATTCTTTCTGCTCTTATAGACACCACAAACAGCTGGTACCTTGCTCTTTAATCCTGAAGAGAAGAGGAGGGCCAAGAATAGCCAATTGTATGAGCTAACTTTATCCTGAATGCAGTACTTAGCATTTTGAATGCTAGAGCGCCTTCTGCCTTGAGTATGTGGGAGAAGTCCTGCAGATCCTTGGACTGTAAAGCCAGACAGGATGAAAGAGAAACAGAACTGCAGCAATTACCAAGAGGTGTAGTTAAAAAGAACCTGAAAGAAAACACTCAGAAAGAAACTACACACGAACTGCACAGGCTGGGAGTGTGTGAGAGTGAAGGCAGTCTTTGTATTCTTTATTCATCCACTTTATCAACCAACTTCTTCAACACACGAGTTGCTTGATCTAAAAAAGGTCTTAACTGGGAAAAATGAGTCAACCATCATTTTACCCAAAGATTCTGATTTTGAAAGTTCTTTCTTTTAATCCCTCTTCCCTGAAGAAGTAATTTATATTACGTTTCAACCTAAAAGACTTTATTCAGTTAGTAGGCAGCTGAAAACTGCCGTAGAAATATGAAAATATATGTTATCTAAAGCAATAAGCACTCCTTTCTGTTACTTTGTTGGGTAAAATAAACACTTCATGATGTGTTCAGATTGTCTAAATTCCACAGAGATTTACTGATCTAATCCAGATCTTTGGAGAGACCCTGTAAATACTAGGTTCGTTGTCATATCTGGAATTCAGGAAATTTGCACACAGTCCCTGGTATAGAAGCACCAAGATTCCTCTTAAGTTTCATAGTATGAAATTTAGAACATACTGCACTGTTAAGACACTTCCACAGGAAGAAATGGGATCATCTGAAGCCTGAGAGACAGTCTCCCAGAAATCATCTTTTGAGAAAGAAAGTCTAACAGATAGCCTTCCAGAGAAGCCACTAAGTGCCTTGAAGTGACCATGGGGCATTCATGTTGTTGCGAGTGGATGGCAGGCACAGGACTGGGCCTCAAGTGCATGATCCACTTTTCAGAAAAGAGGTACTGCTATCTCAGTCTGATTTTTTTTATATGTGGAAAAGAGTCAATTCATGTATTATGAAGACGGTATGATTAAAAATTCAGAATAAGTGAACAAATGAGCTTTGAAATGGGAAGAATGCTGATTTGCACAATAAGAGACATAACGCTCTGGGTGGGCAAAAATACAGCAGCAGTGCATGCAAATAAAAGCATTGCAAAATCTATATTTTTAGCTCTGACCTCTCACAGTTCCTACCAAGCATGTTATATAATGCAAACATGTTATTGTAATTTCCTGCTATTCTTAGTGACATGACATGAGTAGTAACACAGTAATGAGAAAAAAGAAAATCTCATGTAGACACAGGTAAGGAGAAAAATATCAAGTGTATTTAATGGGAGAGATTTGGAAAGCTTCCCAAGAAACTGGAAAGTGAACTTTGGCCTTTCAGGATCTCACTGATAAAACATTCTAGCTGATATTTGTTGGATTTAGGGTAAAGGAATGGTTATGTTGCAATAATATTTCTATACGTGTTCAAGGAACATTACTAGCTCACTAGTGTTCTCAAATACCATGTTGAAAATACAGCCTTTTGAAATACTATTAGACCACAAAGCCTAAGGAGTATGAAGGGAACTTTCTGTTCTTTTATTTGCTTGTCACTGGCATCATTTCTATTGTTTAAGGATCTGTAAATACAAGGAGTTGAATTATATGCTAGAGGGTCAGCTCCTGCCTGCAAACTGTATTTCCAAATTGTAGTTTTACAACCTGTAAGCCAGTGAGCCAACTTCTTTCAGGATGTCTGTGATACAGAAGGGGATGGGGTTTTATT